TACAGAGCAGAGGGAGATCAGCTCCGTGCTTTGTGACCACCTAAAGGGGTGGGCTAGGGAGGGTGGGAGGGAGATGCAAAAGGGATGGGATATGGGGATATATGTATACGTATAGCTGTTTCACTTTGTTACACAGCAGAAACTAACACAACATTGTAAAGCAATTGCACTCCAATAAAGATGTTAAAAAATAATAAAGGGTATCAGTAAAATACAAAGAAAAAAAGAGAAGGATGTATTATTAAGCATCTTACTTGTAAGACTTCTTTATTTTTATTTCTTTATTTTTATTTCTTTATTTTTTTTTGCGGTACGCGGGCTTCTCACTGTTGTGGGCTCTCCCGTTGCGGAGCACAGGCTCCGGACGCGCAGGCTCAGCGGCCATGGCTCACGGGCCCAGCTGCTCCGCGGCATGTGGGATCTTCCCGGACCGGGGCACGAACCCGTGTCCCCTGCATCGGCAGGCGGAGTCTCAACCACTCCACCACCAGGGAAGCCCCTGGAAGGCTTCTTTATAAGCCTTACAGCCGAGCTCTTCTTCCTGTGATTCCTGACTAGTTCTACATCTCAGTGGTTACTGCCTTCCTCATCTCCCCTTTTACCTGTCTACATAATGGAACCAGTATCCTATATATGGAAGTGTTGGTTTTGACAGAACCTGTGACCTCCATAGAGACTGTCTTCCCAAGCCAGCTCAACTTTGACAGTGGGCTCTAGTTCTCCAGCTTCTTGCATGGCCCTGGAAGCTCAGTAAAACCTTGCCTGCAGCTGGGTTCCTCAGTTTGTTAGCTCTCTCCAGCCTCCTCCTCCACCAGCCAGAGGCTGGTGTCCAAAAGTCTGGTTTTCAGGCCAGTGTCTCAGAGTTGGACTTTGCTTTTCTGTCCAGTCTCTTTAGATTACAGACTAGTTGGACTCTCCATCTGGCTTTCAATCTCACCTTCATATGCTTGGATCACCCTCAACTTTATGGTCTCTGACTTTCAGACCAACCCAGGACCTCAAAGGTCTTGGCCCGTATTCTGTGGATGGGGTTCCTACTAGGCTAAGAATTAAGTTCAGACTACCCTAGTTAAATTTGTCTTTTCGTGCATGCCGATGTCATGTCTCAGCCAACAGGACTTGACCTGTGGTGACCCAAGTCTACAGAACAACAATCCTCTTGTAACTCTCCTTGATCCTTGATCTGGCTCATCTATCCTCATGACTTCATGTTTATTTTAGCCCTGACCTCTTGCAGTTTTCTAGACCCATAATTTATATTATCTTTAGTACATCTTGGATTTCCTGCTCTCAGAGAAGTTTACTGATTTGTTAATTCATCCAACAGGCACGTATGAACACCTACCGGTTGGCACTGCAGACAGTCGGAGCTTAGTCAGGGAGTTAGACAAAATAAAGGGCTGTGTCAGGATGCTTTTTATTGCTAATGACAGAAGTCCTGATTCAAACTGGCTTAAGCAAAAATGGAATATATTCCCTCACATACCGGGCAAGTCTAGGGGTAGATCTGGTTTCCTTCAGGCACAGCTGGATTCATGGATCTTAAATGCTATCTTTGGGACCTGGCCTGTCTTCATCTCTCAGCTCTGCTCTCTTCTGCTTTGTGATGGCTTCATTCTCAAGCCCTCCATATGGTGGCAAGATAGATGTTACCATTGCCAGGTCCACATTCTCCTAGGTGCCAGTACAACAGAAAAGGTACGGCTCTCTCAGTAGCCCCAACAAATGTCCCACTACGTCTTGTGGTTTCTCACTGGGTTATATGCTCTTCCCTGAACGGATGACTTTGTCCAGGGAAATTCAATGATCTAACTGGTCAGACTGGAGTCATATGTCCTCTCCTTATAGTTGAGCGTGGAGTCAACTCTATTCAAACATTTAAGTTGAGAGCAAGGGATACAGTGGTTCCCCTGAGGAAAAGGCGATGGATCTGAGATAGTAAAAAAGTTTGAAGTTGTCAGTCACAGCCATTATGTTCATGATAAATGTGTATGATAGAGCTACAAACAGGGTCAAGTCTGGCAAAGTGAACGTTTGACTTCATATATGATAGGCAAAGGATTCCTTCCTCCCTTATCCTTCAATCCTTTTCCTTCCTTCCTTTCAGCAGAATTTAGTGAGTGCTTATTTTGTTCCAGGTTCAAAACATAGATTGTCCTAGAAATTGACCCTGCTTATAAGGAGCTTACAAAGTAGTGAGGTAGAGAGTTAGTAAGAGCAGTGCACCCACGTTTACTGAGAACTTGTGTTTTAAGAAATAGAAATATGTGTTTTTTATAAAATTAAAAAGACAACTTCAACCATTATATTGTTAAAAGTCTTTACCCAGGCTATCTCAGTAAATTCTAGTTTGTTTAGTGCTTGGAATAAGTCTCTTTGGTATGCTCCATGAAATAATAGAAACCCCATAATCCCCAATTTTTAAATTTTTGCCCAGGCTACTGTAAAACTCAGAGTTAAAACCTGTGGTTAATTAAAAGAAGCTTTCCTTTGCCTAAGTTTTCCTTAAGATTTTTTTTTTTATGTATACTTGGTTTAGGGTTTTATGATTTTATTGTTTCTGGGACTTTTGTAGTAAGGTACCTCAAAATAGAGATACAACAGAGATAAACAAAATACCTTTAATTTCCACTTTTACCTTTTGCCTCTGATCTATGACAGGTTATTAAAGCTTCTCCCACCAGTGCCCAGTCACTTCCCCTCCTGTATCCAGACATCTCTATTAATGTATTCACAACTTGTGTATAGCGGGCCGACCAGACACTGAAAGGAACACATGTGGATATGTACATTTTTTTTAAAGGCAACAAACATGAAAATATTTTTGTGGCATTCAATATCCAACGTGCAACCTTTATATTATCTTTTAGCTGTAGGTTTTATTTTGTTCTGTACTATGGGGAAAAAAATTGAGAAAAGCAACACAGATAATCCAAGGATTAGGGAATACATGAACACAGTGGTTCTCACCTGGATAGTTGGCAATGCCTGGAGATGTTCTTGATCTTATTGGCTACTGGAATCTTGTGGGTAGAGGCCAGGGATGCTGCTAAACATTCTACGATGCACAGGACTGGCCCCACAATGAAAAATAATCCGGTCCAAAATGTCAATAGTGCCGTTATTAGAGAAACCTTGCATTAATAGGATTTTTAGAATTCTAAATCCTGAAAGGATTCAGAACAATCTTGTAACTTTGGCTTCAGACAAAACTAGAAACAAATGAGACTCAAAGAATTATCAAATCCTGGAGCTAACAGGAAAGGTCATCTAGTCTGGACTAGATGTGTGATCAGTCAGCTGGCCCAATCTCTCTGTGCCTCAGATTCCTATTCTGCAAAAAGGGATATGAAAGCTTGCCTCAAATGATTGCTGTGAGGATTAACTAAAAGAATAGATGTGAAATGTTCAGTACAGTACCTGACCATGATGTGTTGTTAATAAATAGTGGTAGTGAGAGCTGAGGTGGTAATTACGATTACCGTCGTCCAAGGTCACAGAGCTAGTACACAGGTTGTTTAACCCCGTTCTCCTGACTCCCTGTCCCATTTTGTTTCTTTTATGCTCCATTGAGGGTCTATGAAGAAAGGTTATAGGGGCAACTCAGTGGGGATTAAAGAGCGCTGGCCTGGAGAACAGCTTAGTAGCTGGTACTTCTGGAGAAAGTCTGAACAAAAGTTCTTCATAAAAGACAGGCAGGGGATTTAACTCGTAGGTGGGAGCTAAGGGAGACTAAAAAGGATTGGTTCCTACATGAAACAGGCTACTCTCTCGGATTCCAAAGCTCTGTGAATGGTGTTCCAGGTGGTCCTGCCTCCAGGAAGGGCGGGGCTTAGTTCATATGACCTTTACCAAACCGTTATATCCCTCACCTTGTCTCACAGCCCCAACAGACATCTGTTGGGGAAGGTCCCTGCAATGCTGGGATGGTTAGACAATATTTCTGGGGACCCTTTCATCTCTAAGATTCTCTGATGTCTGATAAGTTTTGTGGGCCTTGTACTGGAGCGATCATGTGACATTGTAGGTAATACCCAGTAGGCGTGTGTAGACAACCACAGATCTCCTGTTTTAAGATTTGTGGAGTAAAAAATGCTTTATTAGATTGTACTAATTCAGTCACCACGAGCATATGATTGAGATGTTGTGCCAAATGCTTTTTCTCCTCTGAAAATAATAGTAAATTATCTTACCAACAATTCTGTGTAATAGCTTTCCTCTCATTTTCTTAAAAAACTTATAAAAATTCTTTGCAGTTACTCTATGAGTTAAATTTTTATTTCTCTTATTAGGTTCACCAACTAAATTGTTTTTAATCAGTGGCTTTCTATAAAAATTAGCAGAAGTCAAAAGCATTAAAACTCTCGGGATCACAAGTGTGGATTAAATTCTCTTGAGGGAAAATCTCATTTGTTTAGTATCCTTCTCTCGAATATCCCATGTGTTGGATTGAACTTCTACAGTGATTCTACCTCCAACCAAAATATTCTACATAATTAGTCATTTAAAGACATTTTTCTCCTATATCTTAGCATGTCAGTCCTCCAACTATTAATTAGATTACTTTAAAAAATCAACACGAACAAGTCAGTATATGAGAAAACAGTGAATCACAACTGATTTTATCTGTTTTCCATATGTTTGTGTGACATTCAAGATCCACAAAGCAGTCGGACAAGAGCAACACGCACCCATACCATGGGTGCTGGCTGAGCACCAGGCACTGTGTGCACACGTCCTGTAGCACAGGGCAGGCCACCCAGGTGCAGAGAAGTGGACTGATTTGTCCCAACTCACACAGTTGGTAAGCAGGAGAGCCGACAACACAGCCCCACCTGGCTTCTAACTGCACGAGTTTGCTACAGACCGGATCTTAACAAGGAATCGCTCAAGACTTAGCATAATAAAAAAATCCTCTCTAATATTGGACTGTTTTTCATTTAAAATTAGAGCAGTATTCTGTGTTTTTATTTGACCTTCAACTTTTTTTTTTTTTCAAGGTGTTATGTAACGGACCAGGAACATGTGTTCCTATCTGTATATCTGCCCTTCTCCTTGGGATACTAGGAATAAAGAAAGTGATCATTGTCTACGTTGAAAGCATCTGCCGAGTGGAACATTTATCCCTGTCCGGAAAGATTCTGTTTCACCTCTCCGATTACTTCATTGTTCAGTGGCCGACTCTTAAGGAGAAATATCCCAAATCTGTCTACCTCGGGCGAATTGTTTGATGAATGACAACTTACTTCTTTAGAATTTTGCAGTCAACAATATTTACTATAAATGGGGAACAAAAAACTACATGTTTATTGTAAAAGCTTTGAGGATCCTGAGAATTATTGGTGGTCAAGAGTAAAGAAATGTGTAAGTAACCCAGTGAGGAAACTGAGGTTGCTTTTATAAAACAAACATTAATAAACCATTAAGTGTTTATGCCTCTGTGCTCCAAATTTCCGTTCTATATAAAGGTGTTTATCACTACCTGCAAGTAATCTTCTGACTTGTTTTACTAATATTTTACTAATATTTTCTAGAACTAAATATAGAATTTGTATGATTAGCCACATTTCCTGTTCTATAGCTTTTTTTTTTTTTTTTTTTTACAGTATTCTGCATTATAGAAAGAAAAAGAAAAATATATCTTAGTTTTTGTTCAGACACAACAGGCTTTATTTCCTGTATGGAAACAGAGAGGTCCCTAGTGAATCCTTTCAGCATAAAGGAAGCAGTTATATTAAATTGGCTTCATGACAATTTGCACTCCACAGGCTTCCAGAACTGAGCGCATAAACCAGTATCTGTTTTTATTCTTTGGTTTTGCTTTGTGAGTAGCTGGCCTCACTCCAGGATATCTTTTAAAATCTTTTGTTTGTTAAAATAAATGAAAAGGTGACTACTGTCATACGAGTAAAAACATGGTTCTGTTTATCAGGGCTGAACTCTCAAAACATTTTTTTTAATGTTACAGTAAATTCACGATTTTGTGGCTATAGCTATCTCTGGAATTTTAAGATGTGTAGGCTCAGGAGAGTATATATTTACTTAACATTTACTTAAGTGCTTGTTGTATGCCAGGTGTTCTTCTAAGCACTTTTCAAATATTAACTCATTTAACTCTAATAACAACTCAATGAGGTAGGGACTGTAATTACCCCCATTTTACAGATGACTTTCCAAGCTCATATGACTAGTAAGTGCCAAATCGAGAATTCGAGCCCAAGCTTAAGAGCAGAGCCAGTATCATGGGCGTGTGGCCTCTGCGACCACATAGGGACCCATAGTTAGGAGGGCCCGGCACTTGGTTTAATACTCTGCTGTCTCTCTCTTGAATTCCTTAGCATATTTTGAACAAGAGGCTCACATTGTATTTTGCACTGGACCTTGCCGATTATTTAGCTGGCCCCGCTTGAGAATCTGCTCCTAAAGAGCCATGTCAACTACAGCAGAAGTACAACACCTAATGCAGGGCCTGGCCCAGCAGCTCTGCAATAAACAGGAATTCCATTCCCCTCCCTGCTATTTTAACAAGGCAACAAACAATGAGAAGACCTCTTGTGATGTTTAAGTTGTTTTTTTTTTTTCCTCTTAAATCTGTCTTATAAGTATGATATAAATCTAATAAAGAAATGGTAAGAAATGAACAAAGAAATTGACTTTTGGTGAAAAGAGGCTTGATCACCTAAGATGACATAAAATTAAAATGCTGAGGCTACCCTAGCCTTTCTTGTTCTTTTAGAAATTCTCTTTCTCTGAATAAAGTAAAGTAGGCTCATCTGTCAGGACATTTTCCCAGGTTTTTGGCTGGAGAAACGCATGGCAGAAGACTCTCAGAATAGTGAAAGCACTTTGCCGTCTGGATTCGGTGGCCAGCAGGGCAGCCAGGCGCTAGTTCACTGTGCTTTGACTTTAAATCTCAGATCTCAGGCACTGGCTCTGTGTCACCTGACATAAAGGTCTGAAATATCAGGTACCATATTTGTGTGGTTCCACCAGGAGCAGAGATGAAGTAAGCCTCTACTTTTTTAGGGAGAAAGTGATTTTTTTTTTTTTTTTTTTAGAGACAGAAGCATGTACATTTTATGCATCTTTGAAAAGTTTTTCTCTGTCACTGTTCCTGAGTGGCACTAGATGAATAGTTGATGAGTGGACTGTGTTCAGTGCAGTTAATGCCTGTCTGTGCTCCAGGGCAGCTGTCCCAGGGCCCCCGCATTTTTTGGGGGGAAATGTTTTTTTTTTTTTTTTTTTTTTTAGAGACAGAAGCATGTACATTTTATGCATCTTTGAAAAGTTTTTCTCTGTCACTGTTCCTGAGTGGCACTAGATGAATAGTTGATGAGTGGACTGTGTTCAGTGCAGTTAATGCCTGTCTGTGCTCCAGGGCAGCTGTCCCAGGGCCCCCGCAACTAAGCCTGCTGCATTGGCTCCTGTCGGGACAGAGCTTACAATGCTTAGGCCATGGAGAATTGTAGAAAAGAAGCCATGATTTTTTCCAGAAACGTATGTCCCAGATGTTTTGCAGAGCCTTAACTTAGACAGTGGTTAGCCTGGAATGTCAGAGAAAGAATCCGTGTGTGTTATATCACTAAAAGTTCAGAAATATCTTCCTGGGTTCGGGCTGCTATGCACACGTTCCAGAGCCCAGCTGAGGCACATGTGATCATGCCTTCTTTCTCAGTTCCAGATTATTTGGTAAACAAATGCCTATTCCCCTGTGTCTTATTGTTATGGCTAATTCAAGTCCTCAGGGTCACACTGGCAAAGGGAGCTGGTTTGAGATTGCAGTAGGGGCTGTATCTCTGCTGTGCATTTCTGCGGCATGAAGAAAGCTAGTGCTCTAGTCTCAACTGAAACTGAAGAAATCAGTAGCTAACTTGTCCTTTCCAATTTCTCTTGAGGCACTCTGGAATGCAGCTCTTACTGGAAGAGACTATTCATGAAAAATTAGTTGCATCAGTCTTTAAATGAGAGGCAGGGAAACCACACATCCTGCCCACACCTACTTCCCTGGAAGATTTTATCTACAGTTCAGCTGTCCTAATGGGTCTCAGCAGCTTGCCAGGTCAAAGCCTAAATGTTTCAGAAGGGACATCCAAAAGTCATCACAGGAAACTTTTGCCTGGAACGAAGAGTGCTATGAAACTATGTCAACAAGAGGAATGTTGTACACTTTTAAACTGAATAGCAAGAGGTCCTTGCTAGAAGGGAGATGACCCAAGCTTCCCTGTATAAAAGCAACTGGAAACACACTTTAATTGCCTTTACCAAGATAGGTTAGCTTTGGGAAATATACCACCTCTTACTGTGCGGCTCCCTGCATTGAATCTGTGCTTCATATCTCCTAAAAAGCCCCACCTCACCAAAAAGAGTTTGATAGCAATGTATGAAGCTTCTTTTATCCACAGTAATGCCATCGTGAATATTAAAGAAGATCGTCCTCCATACAGCTCGGTGTTGGGGACCTTGTGTAGTTTCTTCCCCATGATTTCAGCTTTGGCAGATGATGAGCAGACATCCAGATTTCGTCATCTGCCATGAGCTTGCTTCTGTAAGCCCCAGCACCCCAGGACTCTCAAATCAAGTGTTCTGTGTTCTTGTTCCCACTCACTTTAAACGTGGATTTGACATGCCTCCTCCTTTTCCCTTCAAAGTAGTCACCTGATGCCAGGCTCTGCCATCTCGCTCAAACAACAAACTTTGGAATAATTTTTGATTTTTTGCTCTTTCTTTAATCCACATATAATTGGTTGCCTTTTTTTTTTTTTAATATCCCCAGAACTTTCCCTTATCTTTTCTTCCTCTTCTCTCCTTGTCATCTGATTTCACCCATTGATTCTGCATTTGAACTAGTTTATATCCAGCCTTCCTTTTTAGTCCCATGGTCACAACTAAGCTAACTCTTTAACATAAATTCCTTGCTCTGTTAGCACATTTTTTGAGGCACTGAGGCATGAAGAGATTAAGTAACTTATCTAAGATTTTACAACTAGAAAGTAGCAGAGCTGGCATTTGAACCAAGGTACTGTAGCTCCAGCCAGACTTATTTGAACAGCTATGTTAGGTTTACAATTTTAAAAGTGCTAGAAAGGAAATCAGCAGGCTGCTGTGAAGGGAATACAGTGCTGACTGCTCTAGAGAGGGATATCAGGAAAGGCCTCTCTAAGAAAGAGACATTTCTGCTGAGATTTGAGGCAGAGTGCCTGAAATATTTGTCCTCTTCCCACTTCCCCTCCCAACTTACATTTCACCTCTCCCGTAAAATATCCCCTGTTCCCCCATAGCCTGGTTTCAGCGACTTCTTCTCTACACACTTCTGTGTCCTAGCCGCCCACACCTAAGGTTAGCACGGATTATGTACCATCATATTGCAGTACCTTGTACTTACAGAAACACCTGTGAAGGGAAGACCCGGATGCTTTTGCTAATTAATTCTTTATGTTTGCCTTACTTCAGGGACTCTGCTTCATGCTTTCGTGCCCTTGCTCCACTCTTGGTCACACCTGCCACAGCTCAGGACAGAATGTAGCCCTTAAGTAAGTATATAAATTCTTATACTTTCAGACTTTGTCTAGGCCTACTTAGTTCCATTTCATCTGGACCAGTGGTTCTCAAGCTTTTTGGTCTCAAGACCTCATTAAAAATTACTGAAAGACCCCAATGAACTTTTGTTTATGGGGGCTGTATTTGTCAATATTTACCACATTAGAAATTAAACCAGAAACTTTTTAAACATGGGAATAGACGGGGACACTATTAACCATCAGAGCAATGACATCATCACACATCCTGTAGCATCTAGAAAACTATAAAAGAATGAGAAGGAAAAAGACAGATAACACCTCAGTATGCCTTAATCACATGACAATAGTTTTGACCTCATGGAGCCCTGAAAAGACCTTGAGGCCCCCCAGGGGTCCCTGGGCCACATTTTGAGAAGTGCTGTTCTTTATGTATAATGACACACCAATGAGTTCATCTCCTCTAGCAGCCTTTAGTCAGTCTGTGCTCTGTGTACTAGTTTTCTATTGCTGTGTAACAAAGTGCGGCAAACTTAGTGGCTTAAAATAACAGTCATTATCTCACAGCTCCGTAGGTTGGAAACCCATTCAGGGTCTCACAGGCTGTAATCAAGGTGACAGCCAGGACTGAGTTCTGATCTGGAACTCTAGATCTTCCAAACTTGTTCAGGGTGTTGCTGGCTGAATTCAGTTCCTTGCAGTTGTAGGGCTCATGGTGACCTGTTTCTTAATGGCCAGCAGGAAAGTCTCTACTGCAGCTTGTCTCTCTTAAGGACTCACGTAACTGGGATCAGGCACACCTACGGTAATCTCTCTCCCTTTTAATTAAATCAGTGTCAACTGACTAGGAACCATAACATCCTCAAAATCCCTTTTGCCATATTAATATAACATAGTCAGGAGATCAATAGCC